GGAGAGAGAGAAGGAGGGGGGGGGGGGAGAAGAAGCTGACTCGCTTCCGGTGTGAGATGTCCGGAGAGGAGCGGGAAAGAACTACTGACCTACCGCGACCTACCGCGACGCATAGAAAAGTGAGATGCATGCATTGGGTCCAAATTCCTTTTTTTTTTTTTCTGTTATCCCCCACCACCGCGCCTGCGGGTGTGGGAGGAAGACGGATAGGGTGGGGAAGCGGAACGTGCACTAAACACTGCGGGAGGCAAGATTGAAAATGTTCTTCTTTCTTCTTTTTGTTCTTTCCTTTTTTTCTCAAATTGTATATTTTTTTTCTTTTTTTTATTTTTCTTCCTTTTTGTTCCTTTTCTCTCTCTTTTTTTTTTAATTGTATATTTTCAAACAAAATTTGTACCTTTGTCAATAATTTCTTATAGATTTACATGCTATTTAGATGTTAGATTTACATGTTTACAGGTAATAGCTATTAAATCTACTACTGATTATCAATTTAATTGCGTTGAATAAGTTAATTTTTTTCAATTAAATTAAGTCAAAGATAAAAGATTATAAAAATAATTCAATTACATATTAAAAGTTGCGTGAACAAAAAACTAACGTAATTAAAGATAAGATGAAAATTATGAAAATTAACTTATACATATGTTCATTACTCAAAATTCAGAATTTTTATTTTAATATAACAATGTGGAACGTGCAAAATTTAATATACAGAAAGTATATATTTTAAATGTAAAAATTAAGAAGTTAATGTGCTTTAAGAAATAATTGATTGAAATTATTTTATCCTTTATGAAAATTAAATTAGATTAACAGTTAAAAATCTTTTAATTTTATCACTTAACTTTTAAATAATAATAATTAATTAGCTACCAATCAATACTTGTTTGTAATCGGCAAGCTTGCCCGACTCTCATTCCTCTGTCCTGCTTTATCGAGCTTTATGGAGCAGAAGATAGATAGATGCTTCTACGGAGCAGGACAGCAAGCCCGACTGGCCGATGATCACGTGCGCAACTTTTCGCGCGGGACTGGCATCATGTCCGATGTGAAGGACGCGTTACCGGCGTTGTGCAAATACATCAATTCCTTAATACACGTAGATTTGATACCCGAGCACCTGAGACTGGCCAAATACAACGTCCCGGACAAAAGCGCTGTGAGTAGGGCGATGCCGGAGATTTCATCCAATCCAATCTCACTCTAACTTGATCCTAACCTATATCTGACAAAGCTGTCAAAACGTGTGGTGTGGCGATCGTGTGTTTTGTTGTTGCCAGGCCGAGACGCTGTGGAACACGCTGCGCATTCTGAGCTATCACGCTGCGAAGGAAAAACGGAGCGACATAGATTTCCGTGATTACGGTTCGTTTTAACCAATTTTCATCCTGATTACGTCGTAATATTATACCTTGATTAGTTTCACATCCGCTCATTCGCCTTTTTTTTTTACGAGAAATATATATTATGCACGTGATTTCGATTTTACGTTAGAAAAAAGTGTTCGCGTTGTAATTGTCGTGTACGCGATTGACATAATTATGGAGTAGAATTGCTCCTATTATTGGTATTTAAAAACGAAAGGAAAGGAAAGATACACGCTCTTGTAATTGTGTATAATTATATGCGTGTAATTAGTTACGCGGTATATTTTAAAGGAAGATGCTAAATGCAAACATGTGTTTGTGTCAAAAGATTAGGTGATATTTAATTAATTAAAAATTGAATAATAAAGTTGAAAAATAAATAACATAACTTGATTAATTTTAAGAGTTACTTTAAATAATTAATATTTAAAATGCATTAATTTTAACTTTTTAACATTTTTCTAAATGCAAATCAAAATTTTTTTGTTTTATGTCATAATTTTGTGTGTTTTATATAATAATTGCTTTATAGTTTATATCTAATTTAATTTAAAGAAATATTTTTGATCAGACAATTTTTTTAACGTGACTTTTTTTAAAAATTAATTTTATAAGTCATTAATTTTAATTTAATTAAAGAAAAGTAATTTATTTAGCTAAAATATAACATTGTACAAAAAAATATTACATTAATTTATATGTATATATATATATATATATATATAGTAAAAAGTATTTATTTTTAAGGTAAAAATAATTAAAGATTATTATAGAATAGATTATTATAATATTATATACGTGTTTCCATTGTGTTTGTACATACTCTTAATTTTTCTTAAGGTAATGATACAAAGAATTATGTGCATTTAAAAATTAAATTTATTTTATTTTATCAAAATATATATTCCATATTTCTTTGCGCGACACGTTCTCTTTTTTTTTCTCTTTAAAAAAGATAGAGTGTTGATCACATTTCCAGACGCGCTGTCAGCGGTGAGATTAGCATCTCGCATTTCTACAATACCCGGTGATCGAGTTTTACAGTTTGTCAAAACAAAACGGCGAACATAACAGAGATGCGTTGATAGCTTTAGCTTGGCTTTTGGGAACGCAAGATGTTTTGACTGCTATTCTTCGAGCAAAACTGACCGATAGCGTCTTGGGTGCCGAATGCTCATCTGCAAATCCTCCGGAAGTCAGTATCAAAATTTAGCATGTAAAATGATATGAGAGATAAAAACATGAGCCCAAGTAAAAAAAATTTTCTACTTTTTTGCAATACAATTGAAAAGAATTAGATCATACAATTTAAATTTCTTTGCATGTTTTTTCTATTAATTATTATTATTATATAATAATAATTATTACTACACACACACACACACACACACACACAATTACACACACACAATTCAAAGAATTGTAATCAGTTTTTACACAAATATTTAGGAGAAATAATAGAATAATTTATGATATGACATTTTCATGCTTTTGCTAATGTTTTGATGTATAACATACATACAACTTTAATTATTATCATGAATGTACACATCCAAGTATTTTTACGGGCATTGTTCCAATAAAAATCGCTTCGTCTATCAATGTATCTTCATACTTAATTTTTATTTTCATTTGTTCCGTTCAGCCTCCGTCGTTAATTACCGTGCCGGATGATGAATCGTTATCGACGGACGCACGACTCAGCCGTATTGTGCATTTAAACACCACGGTAAATCTGAACCTGCGGGAGATCAACGAGCTGACCTGCGAGCGAGCCAAATTGACATCCAAGGTGCACGCGGCGAGCATCGGCGTGAGCGGTCTACCGCATCTGAGCGTGTCCGAATTGGCGTTGACGAAACATCTCGCGAGGGCGCAAGTCCTCGGTGACGGAGGAGGCAAGAATACGGAGGAGGATCGACGACGGCTGCGAGAATTCCGCGAGATTGGAGTCCTGCTCGACGCGCGTGCCAAATGGCTGCGGAAGCGCCATATATTCTTCGACTGGATGGTAAATCTCGAGAAGAGAAAGGGTGGAAAACTTCATACCGGGTACCACCCGCGTTTGGATCTTTTTATCTATTTATCATCCGACGTGAGAAATAAGTTTGTATTGCGATAAGAATAAAGAATTTGATTTCTCTCGATCTCAATTTCATTTGGATAAGATTTCTTCATCTCACAAAGCTGCTTTCTATACTAGGAATTCTTTATTATGCATTTTGATATCTGTCTAAGATATCGCAAATTGAAAAGTATTAAACAATAAAAATTTCCTGATAGAGTTTCATAACAGAAAAGGAAGAAGACGTAAAGAGATGAAGAAATTTGATACAAATTAAATTGAGAGACAGAAGAGATAAGTTCTTTGTATTCATTGTAATACAAATTTATCTTACTTTATTTTTATTAAAATATTAAAAAAATGAGGAAAAATTTTGTTCATCATTTGATTAGAAAATTTTAAAATATTTCTTTTGTTTTTATAAGATAATCATAAGTGATTGTTAGAGATATTGATTATTCCTTTCTCGGACAAAATCTTTTTGAATTATAGTAACAATGCAATGAAAAGATATAAAAGGTAGAATCAAACTCAAGTAGAATCAAATTAACTCAACATAAATACCTATCTAATAATAAATTACAACGTTTCTAGCGATGCTATATTAATTACATGCAACGTTCATTGCAGACTACAGTGCTTCAGGAGCATAAAAAATCCATGGAATCGAATCCGGTTGTAATCTCTACGCAAGAACTTCTTGCGTTTAGTTCATTGTTACGTCATGTAATTAGAGACAAACTTCGAGATTCAACATCTGAAATAAGTGGTGGACATGGAAACACGATCTCAAATTGTCCGTCTCGTGCAAACAGAAGTCAATGCGATAACATCGAAGCGCAGAATTGGATAGACGATTTGAATGAGCGTCAGAATCGCGAGGAAGAAAATTTTCAACAAAATAAGGAGCGATTAGTCGATGAATTAAGGGAAATGTTGAAGTTGATACCGTCCGTTGTTCACGTCTGATCAACATATGTATGCTATTATATATTATATTTTGTAGATGTATACATCACATAAAAAAGTATTATTTATTATAATAAAAGAGTTTCATTATCTATTATCTTTGAAATTAAAAAATTATTTATGAAATGATATGTTACAATATATCATTTGTGTGTTCAATGAATTTTATATAAATAAGTGAATGAATGAATGCAGTTTACAATGATGTAGGCATTCAACGTGCAGAGGAGCCACTTAACGTCAGAAAATATCTTGTTAAAATATCTTGTTTTGATGATGAATAAATATTTAAGGAGATATTTGAGAAAAACATATATTCACGCGACTCTACCTAATCAATATAGTAAGAAATCCTGAAAGTTTTAAAATCTTTTTCGAGACATCGAATAAATTATTATTATTATTTTTGATACTTACTTGTTGATACGCATCGAAATAATAATACTAACAATACAGAAACTCGAGTTACGAATGTATGTAATCAGGAATTAAACTTGCCGATATCGCGTTAAAAACAACGGAAATATTTTATCTGGTCGTTCACTTTGCGTATAGTGATTACTGCGTATCGTTGAGAGAGCGTGTATCGTGAAAGCAAAGAGGAAAAAGGGGAATGGCTATGTTGTGACGACAGTCCCTTGATCAACGACGCCGAACGACGAGATGAAGACGTTTAGTATCGTGACGAGGAAGATGCCGATGACCGTCCAATTGTTAGCCTTATTGGCCTTGCACATCTGCTCGTGTTCCTTGACATTGTAGACGCTGTTCCATATCAAACCAATGCCTACAGCGATCTGAAGAAACAAACTCAAGCCGATCATGGTGAGCGATGGAAAAAAGTACGGATGCCGACCGTCCGTCTGGAGAACGTAGCGCATTTGATTCGCGTTCGCGGACAGCAACGCCAGATCCATCATACCCTGGGCGAGGGTCTTTTTGTGCTGATAAATATTCACGTCCGGAGTGACGACTTGCACGGTCGGCGACGGAAGAACATCACTGGGCCAACTGGGTTGCGGTTCCGCAAGAACTTCCGGTCCGATTCTGCTATCAAAACCGATTGGCATATGCGGTTTTCCGTCCAACTTCCCGTCCTGTTCGACCTCCGTCTCGACAAAGGATGGTCTTCGCGAATTGTTCGCGAGATCACCGTTGTTTTCAGGGACAAAACCAGCGCGCAGATCGATGAACGGAGGTACTGATTCCGACTCGATGGAAGTCAACGGCCTTGACACCTCGTCGCGAATCTCATCCAGATACAATATTTCATCGTTTTCTTCCTTCCTCCTTCCGTTCATGTTGGCGAATTGTAGAGGACACCAGTTGAAATCACCTATGGAACATTTTGTCACGTTACACCGTTTAATTATCATCGCCATCATTTGAAAGAGTTCTATATCCAAGAATATCTCCTCGTTATCGGAATTTCGCGGGCGGACCTCGTCGGACAAATCGATTGAACTCGTTTCACGCATTAGATCGCACCACTACATTCATTTCTGACATCTGTTACCAATAATCGCGACTCTCATCGCCGAGTACAAAGCGTACTCTCCCGCTCGTGTCTTTTAAACCCGAAATCGATATCCAAATATACGTTCAAAATATTTCATTATTGTTATTGTACGTCGTCTTTCCTTCGCTTCTCTTTTTTCTCTCTACTTATATATTCTTCAATCACGTTTCTAACGTAATCTGTAATTAACTCGCGCAATTGCCGTCTGCATTCTCTGTTCTGCTGTCGTCAGTTTGTCAGCAAGTGTCTTATCTTAAAAAAAAAAAAAAATCCACTTTTCCGTTTTTCAATTTTAAAATCCATTTCCTTGCTTCCACCAGCATCACTCGCTTACCGTGATCGAAAACAGGTGTTTTCTTTGTCTCGACTTGTGACCAAGTTCCAAGTCAAGTCACAATGCAGACCGTCCCGCGTGAGTGGCAACGCGCGCGGCGTTCTCCGAGTCACTGGTGATCTCGCCGCCGCGCGACGCGACTGATTCATCCATCCTCACGTCACGATCGCCGCCGCGGCGTTATACCGAGAATCATGGCCGTGTGGTTTCCCCGGGCCCTAGGTCGTGTCGCTTTGCGGGAAAACATGTAGTCGTTACTGTTAATTAAAGGAGCGCACGCTCGCCACGGCCGGCGGGTCATTAAGACCCGCCGGCGCGAATTCTTCCCATCTCCTATCTTTCTATCAAGATATTGAATAATGAGACGAGTCGTTTTTATTTTGAGCCGAGTAGATCTTGAGCCTGCAAAAGAAAAAATTTTATAATTACGACTCATTATTATATAAAAAAAATTATTCGTTTGCTATGATAATGATATGTTACAAAAATTGTTATTTTTTTTTTAAGTTGTTTGTAAAAAAAAAAGAACGAGTCTTCGGAATTCTTATCACTAGTGAATGATGTAATTTGAGCTTTTAAAATTTTTCATTGAACAGGAAACTTTGTATCGATAAACGGAATAAGTCGAAGAATTCTGTCGTTTTGAAAAGTTTTTGTTTTTAGATAAGAATTTAAATACACCGAATGAAGACTTATACTTTTATTTTTTTATAATCAGTTATTACGTCAAAATTGCATTAAAAATGATGTTGCAAAATTTTTGTGATTCAAAACAAAGCCGTTTTTCTGAAAAACCTCGTTTTTTTGAGTTATATCGTTACAGCAAACGAGCGATATTTACATTTTAAGATCGTTTTCTTTTTGATTAGCATAGAGGGAGAATAACTTAACGAGGTTGAGTGAATTTTCAGCGAAGTGAATTTTCACACACGTTGCATTCGATCACTGCACCTCGCCGCTTATCCTACTTTCCGCGCGACGTCACGAATATTTTATCAATAAAAAATAAAACTAATAAAATGTAAAAAAAATTTGCAAGCGAATCAAAGCGAGCATGAGTTTACGACTATCGCGTGCATCAGCCATGTGCCCTGGCCGCGATTTAACGTCGACTGTCGGCGTTTCAAGGTCTTCTTCCGGGGAAACCAGTGGAAGGGAGAATGAGAATGATCCAGAAAGACATTCGCGGATTCGTGGCTATAAATACATAAACACATTACCCACGTCTAGCCTTTGTTACTCGCTTTGTCTCAATAGCTATGATCAAACACGACGCCGCCTTTTTGCGAGATTCACGCGTGGCGTGCTAATGATATTCGTAATATTCATGAGCTGCTTTGTACTTCCGAACTATCAAGTCCGTATATCCATACATATCCGTGATTTACATTTCGCATCTGTCTCACCGATCTAGGAATACGCAATTTCTCGGGGAAACGTCATGTCCGTATTTCCCAGGGCTTCGCGACTTTCCATGTGACGCGAGCACGCATACGCGTGACTTGAAACGTTACCGAGAAGAGCGAGAATCTTGGTCATGCCTGTAGACTCGAATTAGTGAAATCCCTCAAATTATTCATTGTGGTTTTCATCCTACTAGACAAATTGTGCAAATATTACACAACATGACATCATAAATTGACGAAAAATTTCACAATGATTGCAAGATGGTTCACAATCTATCATTATTGTTTTGCCAAAATATTATGTTGCAATTAATCGCGCAAACAGTTATTAATATATAGAATTTATTTACATTTCAGTTAAGAAGGAGATATTGATTTTCAAGAAAATTATTTATCCACATTTATCCTCCCATACCTTATTATCTAATTTATTCTATTCCTATTATTATAAATTCTTTTACTTCACTTTTCAACTTCACTTTCCAAAAATTCCACTCGTTTTTCCTATTTTACATTTAATACTTACTTACTTATTCATTTAAACCTATCACAGCCTATCTTATCACAGTCCTTTTCACTTTTCTCTCTGCATTCTTTTTCTCTTTTCTTCCATACTTTTCTTAAAACATTTCCTTTTGCCTAATCTAGCTTTCCTCTTTATATTCAAGAGCGCTTCTTTGTTCCTATCTATTTCTATCCAATTTTTAGTTCTCTGGCATTCTTTAACATAATGTTTCGTTAATATTATCTTTTCCCTCTTCATAGAAAATACATATTTTCTTTTCTTCTAACAATATTTGTTCATTTCCTCTGGAGTTCCATATCTCAATTTTATCAGTCAGTATGCTTTCACCCTCATGCCCTCTTCTTTAAATTTTCTGTCCTTAAATAACTGAGTCCTCTATTATTCTTATGTCTTTATACCTTCTATTATATCTAGCATTTTGAATGCATGATTATCTTATTTTCTTCCCATTATGTCTGTGTATTTCTCTCCTTTCTTAGTTCCTCTTCACAGTTTTTATCCTATTATTAAACTTTTTAATGGCTTCTATGTCTTCAGTCCTATTATAATATTTTTCCCTTTCCTTTCCATACTAATTCCTTTCCTTTACTCATACCCTATCTTTTTCTCCCTTTTCCTCCTTATATAATTTTATAAATATTTCCCTGGACAATTGTTCTCGTAATCTTATTAGTCCTTCGTCGCAATAAATGAATCTAAAGTCGATTCACAGAAACGCTTCAATTACATTTTTCCTCATTCATCATGTATTTCAGTTATAAAATAACAATAGGATGATGTAAGATGATGATTGAATGCATCAAAGATCTATGTTCTATTTTTCCAATCCGAGAAGCGTAGATAAGATTATATTTTGTCTCACTTTATCTGTAAAAACATAGAACATTGTAATATTATTAATTGCATTTTTTCTAAATAATTTCTTTATGGGAAATTATATATGGAAGGATACAACGGATCAAAGTAATCAAAAAAATTCTTTACAACAATTTTGTTGTAAATATTTGATTTCTATAACACAGTCACATAGTCACTAACTTTTCGATCTAATTAAAATTGAGAAGCTAGAATTGAAGAGAAGAAGAAATCGATTCGATTTGTCCGTGCGTCATTATTTACAAATACAAATACAAGTACAAATATGCAAACAAAAGTATTCGACAATAAGCGAGCTTACTATCGAATTATCATGTCTCCAGGGAGACCAGCGTCGAGAAAGTGGGAGTAAGGTACTCTCGGTGATCGAGGGCATGCCTACGATGGCAGTGCTCAGACATTTGGACAGCGACCAAAGATGGAGAACAACGGTAAACGACAGCGGCGATTCTCACTCGAATCTCCCTCCACATTTTTCCAGTTGGAAGATGCATCTCGACAGCACACGCTTACGTTCTTTCCGACTGTTCATTAATCACGTGTCCGTTATGTGAGTAAGCGGCAGATAAAGCAGTTGACGAGTCGGCGAATGAACATGGAATCGCACGAGCGTTGCGCTCGCTGTTGCGCTAAATCGATCGTCCGTAAGAGCGACGACCCTCATGAGGGTTGTCGATTTGAATACGCCTCGGAAAAGTCGAAGACGACCTCTCCAAGAAAGCATGTACTCGGATGCCTGAAGTTTCGCAGAAGCTCCGAGGAAGAGCCCCGGAAGAATGGTGATGTATAATATATCTCTTCTTCTTTTACCTTGAGAAGGGAACCATGGAAGAGGATCTGAAATAGTAAAGGTTTTTTTTTTATATCTATGACAATGCTTCGTCTATTATTATAATTAAATATAATTAATTAATAATTATTTAATTGTATATCTCACGTTTCGTTTCTACTTGTCGTTTCTTTCTTACAATTTTAGCATTGAGGAATTTTCTTTTACTTCACTTACAGAGATCTGCATTGACAAATTCGCTCTCGCGAAGAGATTGCACGCGGAGAATCTGCAGCACCAACCGCTTCCGGATCGAGTGGATGATTCTATCTTCAAAAGAGACTGTTGTGCCTGTTCAACCAGCTGCGAGCGGGACGCGAGGTGGAACCAGGATCGAGCGAATATCAGGAAGAAGGTGGAGGATCGCTTATTCGGACCTGCGCTTGGTTGCAAGAAGCCGGAGACCCGGATGGACCTGGCGATCTGCTGGGAAACGCCGATCGACCCGGTGTACGAGCCACGCAGATCGACGCACATCGATGGGTCCGAAGGTGGTTCGGCTCCGGCGATATTCGCCCTGATCCAGCATACGCCGATGCCGAGGAAACGTGACCTCCTGTCGCGTAGAGGCGAACAGGATGGATGCGGCTGCGCGAAACAGGACGAGACGGAAAAAGACTCGAAGAGGAATCAGTGCTGCGATCGTTCCTGCAACGGTAAGAAATAATGTAAGAGAAAAGAGATGAGTAAACTGATAATATCATAAATGAATGCACTTTAATGTTCGACTTGCTTAATACTTAACTTGTTCCTTATTAAGAAGATTTAATATTAAGAAGGTCTTATTTATGTATTTCGCTCTTCTTGCTGTTTCGCCTAATTATAACTCGATGCGAAATTAAATTATTAATCGTATTACGTGCTACGTAATTATTGATTATTTACATATAAACTCATTTCTATTTTTAATGTGGCGTTAAATTAATGTTAAATTTATCAATAATGTAATAACATAATTTATTTACAATGTATTATTATTATCATTATTATTATTATTATAATATAATAAATTACTTATGTGCATATTATAACTTTGAATACATAATTGACGACACAATGTTTAAACAAGAAGTATTAACGAATAACAATAATAGTTTCAATTATAGAACCCCATGGCGAACGGCGATGCGAGAAGCCATCGAGGTCGAACTCTGTGCCGCGCATCACGGAGCGCAAGTGCGCGGCTTGTCGGGACGACGAACCGGACGCGGAATTCGAGCGACGAAGAAGGGACCCGAGACTGATCCGGTCCGCAGTGGGTCTCGCACTCGGTCTCGAGGAGAAGTGCCGAAAGGGCGACGACGCAGCGCGCAGAAATGGATTGCCGCCGATGAGGATGACGGTGCCGCGACCCAGAACTCCCTTCGCGAGGCGCACTTTCTGCATCGACACCTTGGCACCGCCGTTCAGCGTGGTGAACGGCTGTCGGGACGCTGATTACCCCGAGCATTGGCGACTCATGTCCGTGTATCAGCAGTCGTACAGGAACCCACAGAAACGAAGATCTCGCCGCTTCTAATCAAGTCGGGGAGAAATTTAGATTTAGGGATGACTATGTTATTGTTGTTGAATTATGTCCACTTCTACTAATGTAGATTAACTTTAACTCTCGGTAATTTAATTTATCTTTTATCTCTTTTTTTAGTTTTAAGAATTAGAAAACGATAAAGAGTAAATTAAACCGAGATTGAAGTTAATCTAAATTGATAAAAATGAGCATTAGCTCATAAATTAAATACGTCTTTTGTGCGACAAACTTCCTTTGAAAGTCTGTTAAAGAAACTAGTGAAATAGTGTATTAAGTTATCGTTGATTGTTAATCTGTTAATAACAGCGAGAAGAATTTGATAATTTCGTTAAGATATCGATATTGTTAAATATCTGATTCCTAGTAGGTTGTTTAGATTCCGTAGCGTAATATAATGTTTTCGTTTTTTGTTATTATATAATAATAAAACGAAACTATTGAGAAGTTACAAAAAATAAACTTAGACGAGATGAATAATAAGAAAAGCTAAAAAAATAAAATAGAAAGCAAAAATATTAAATTCTTCGCACACCATCAATGTTCATCAGTTCAATTCAGTTCCTCTTCTTAACTTTTATGCTGCTGATGTTGATATTTCCGGACATCGTCATCGGTGAATCTGGATCCTGGACTTTCTCGAGCAACGATATCTGTTCCGGACGTGCTAACGTGACGTTTTGCAGATACACCAAAAGATCGGGATATAGTGTAAGAATGTTCTGAAAGTTGGCACGCAACAATACGTAGACCTCGCAGTTCTCCACGGCGACAACGCTCGCGATCCAACGCTCGTCCTCCATCAGCAGGGCCAGCTCGCCGAAATACGCACCGTCCTCCAAATGACAGATCTGCGGAAACACGAAAATGATCGAGCCTTGTTGATTGCGTACGTGTAGCTGACAGAGTGTAATCTTTCAAGTCCTTGACATACATACTTGGATTTCAAAAGAGATTTTTTTTTATGTCCATTTCTATCAATTTTAATTAATTTTAATTTTAGTTTAATTTACTCTTTACTCTTATTTCCTCTTATTTCTAGAATTTAAAAAAAAATAAAAATAAGTTAAACCGAGATTAAAGTTAATCTATCTAGTTAGTAGAAATGGATATTAAAGCCTCACCTTTTGATAACCAAAACATGGTTTAAAACATGATTTTTTATTCTGGGTCTTTTACCTCTTTTCCCGCGTTGTTATAGACAGCCACGGTACCGGAAGCGATAAAGTATAAAGCATTGCTGCGTGTATTGGCTGTGACTAGCACGTCATTCGGCATAAAAATCTCGGAATGCACAACATTGACTAATTGTGCAATCACTATCTGTGGCAGATATCCAAATAACTCGACGTTATCCAGCAGCTGGCGATAGTTGTGCAGAAGAAGCTTCTGCAACGACCAATAAAAGATCAATTTTATAAGAAGTAACTTTAAAAACCTTTATCATGTACCATTTGTCTCTTTTAGTGAAGTAATGAAAAAATTTATGATGACACGTTCAAGATGCGAAACTAGAAAAGCTTTTGCTAAATAATTTTTTATCATGTTTTCGCAACAGTTTTATCACAATCATTGGCAAAAATACATAAGAAATGTATAAGAAGACTATTTTTGGAAATAACATAATTTCATAAAAAGTTGTTGAAAGTATCATTTACTTCTCGCAAATAAGACGAGACGTGATTGGTAATAATTTTGTCTCTCTCGATTCCCTTTTTATTACGGTAGGTGTAGTAGTTTAGTAATCGATGCTGCAAGGAGTATGGTAATTCCTTGTAGTACATATATTGTTCCAATTGGTCGAGTAATTTCCAATCCCTCTTTTGGATAGAATAAAACGTCACCGTTAAGTGAAAGAGTCGCGCTATAACACCATTTTTTGAGAAGAAAATTTATCGATTAATAGAACCATGATGTAATTTTAAAACAAACATGAAACAAAATCGCGACAATAAATGTGAAACAGAAAATAATTATTTCGTGAAAAGTTTTAATATTAATATAATTATTTAAATTTCAAAAATTTAATTTAATTTAATTTAAATATAACGAAGAATGAAAAAAAAAAAAAATTATTCTACAAAAATTATCTGAAAAAATTAGAACACACACATTTAATCAAAATTATAGCATACATATAAAAATAAATAAATTCAAATATTTATATAGTTGATATTTTTTAAATATTTATGTTAACAGTTAATAATCTCTCCATTTAAATCGATAATTAACTTGAGAAAAGTATCTTTTAAAAAGTATCTATTAATTAATTTAATTAACACAGAACGAATATACCAAGCAGATAAATAAATCCGAGTACTCCGAGGACAGAGAGGATTAGATTATACGTAATGTCTTCTGGAGTTTTCACTGCCAAATAATGCTCAGATCCGATTAAGGCGATGATAGCTCTATTAACGCACGACAGATAGATTTGAAATCTCGTTTGCCTTTCCATCATGTAAGGCGATCGAATCCACGATCTGCAAAAGTTTATGTTACTTTCAGATTTTATATTTAAAAATTTCCGGTGTGAAATAAATTTTGTCGATTAACTAACTCATCGTTCGGCCCGACTATCTTGGCGATCGCCAACGGCAAGTAATACTCCAAACAGGCGGCCCAGTGCACGCAAACGCCGATAATAATACCTATTTCTATTATGTTGCACAGATGGAAATTAACTCGATATATCTGCAAGTTTTTTTTATTTTAGTATTTAACACGAGTAAAATCTGGATTCTATCGCGTGGAATCGGACACACGAATTCTTACGTGATAGAGTCTGCGTGAGTAAATGATAACTTTTTGTACCCAGAATATCTTCAATAAATTTAACGATGCCAGATACCACATCGATTCGAAGAGCACAGTGAGAAATTCTAACGGTAGCACTGAGAATACATCCACGACGAAGAAACCCAGTAGATATTTCCTATCGATGATCGTCGACATCGTTATGACATAAATCATCGAGGAAACTCGCTTTTTCACAAATTTTTAAATCCACATTTAAAAAAGAAAGAATGAGATATCAAAGGAGTCACGTGAAATTATAAAAAATTTCGTGATGTATAATAATTCTTTTTAAGAAAATATGAATTTAAGTTTGCGGAATTAGATTATGAAAATTTAATTTGTAATTTCTAATTTTCGAGATAATGCGTGTAATGAAAATTGCTTTGTAATACAACTTTGTAATACAACTTTCATTCGTTTCTTTTAAATGTAAATTCTATATAATTTGAAAAATCTAGCTATGTTTTCCTGCATTTAGCGCACCTCGCCACGAATCTCGGGTGCAGAACTATCACGTGCATGCGAAAATCGTAGTAACCGGTGAAGAATCGAATCACAATTTCGCATGTTAATACGGCGTCGATCACGTGATTAAAGATATACCATTCCTCGGGCTCGTTGAAGTAAAACGCGAGGAAGACTGGGGTGATGAGTAAAGTCGCTATGATAAACAGCGTCATGGCAGATTCCCAAAACACTCTGCATGCAAAACTTTGTCGAATCAATTTTACTTCATGATAAGAATTTAGCTAATTATTATTTATTATTTAATTCGACTTTTAATTTTTTACAGAGGGTGACTGACCTGAAAGAACTGAAAGGATGGATCATGTAGGGATAGGAACTGAGGTGTCGACTGATCTCAAAATCGATCGCCTGGGTGCTCTTTATATGGTATAACGTGAACGGATGCTTTCGCGATATTATCCGCGTACTAAGGAACCAACGTTGTAACTTTGACCAAGGAGAACTTCCGGGAATCATCTTCATCAATAAATCTTCCTTCGGTGATACTTTACAAACGTGCTCCAAGCGCGGCTCACGCTAAATATTCATATTTGCTTTAATATTTATTTATTATAATTTTTATCATAACAAAACGATATAAATTTCAAACTTGGGACAAATTAAAACAATACTATTACATTTTTTTTTTAATTTGTTTATGGATTATTGAAAATTGTTGAGGAATTGCGTGAACAATATTTTTTAATTTTAATTTATACAAAAGTACAAACAATTTTTTTTATATTATTATATCTTTTGTTATGTAATAGATCCTTAAAAAATACGCAATTTGCAATTATTATTCTAGGAATGTATTATATTACTTTATTTTGAAACATTTCGAAATAACGCTGTTTATAATATTCCTGACTAGCGAAAGTTAAAATATGCATCTTATAATCTCCAACAATCTTCGGTATCGAAAAACATATAATACATACACCACATATGTATGTCCCGATTCTCGCCTAATTTTCTATTTCGGAAAAACAAGTTTACACAAATACGGATAGTTTAAAAGGTAATTTAAATGAAAATAGCTTAATTGTAATATAATACATACATACATTCTCCTAAAAGTATTTTTAACGTTTGGATAAATATTTTGCTAAATCGTATTCATATGATTAAATATCATATGACTAAATGAACATTAAATTAAAATACAATTTTGTTTTCTTGGTGTCTTTCTTGAATGAATTGTTCGATAATCCGCATACCTGAATATCTGGCACCGTCGTAAGATCGGGCACAAAAGCCATTAAATCCATATCGCTCTGAATAATATGATCTTGGAAATAGAATTTCTAGATTCTTCTATTTATAGTCCTTTGTCATTTTCTTGGAGTATTCCACGCTTTCATAGAATCATTCGTTATTTTCTGTTAATCGAAAAAAAATTAATATATAAACATTATATGAAAATATTGTAATATATACAGAAAATCTCAATTCTAACAAAAGCTAATAATTAATTTAGAACTAGAAACTATAATAATTTTAATAATAAATCAAAACTAAACAATATAATATTTGTTTTTATTTGCCATAATGATAGCTACATTTTGCAAATACATAAGATAATCACACACACCGATAATCACGAATTGCGTTCGCCGCGTCTAGTAATATCTTCTTAAAGATCTCCGAATTAAAGCTGTGTATCAAATACACATTCGGCTTATTCGACAACAGATGATCGAGGACAACTTGGCCCCGGGTTTTGTTGCCACTTAATTCGATATCCGCATGCCATGCAACAACATTCTTGGCCATATGAGGGATCACCACGATCCCGGCTAAGAATGCATCACACATAGTGTAATAAGGAAAATGCTTCTTCGCTTGTTCGCGTCTGCTATCCTCAATTACGTTCATCATGTGCACACAGGGCTTATCTAACTTGCCGAATACATCTCTTCGCCACTCCTGAAAAATTTTTTACAAAAGTTATCTTATACTTTAATACTTTTGATGCTCTTAATAGAGTTTAAATTTAAGAGTTTAACTTTAGAGTTTAAACGATTAATTATCATACTGATGATATAACAATTATTTGACGATGATTCAGAATAATTGACGATAATAAAATTAAACATACGTGTGTAATTCTAGTCTCCAAGCAAGATTCCCATGGTAGCAACCACAAAGGTTTGGTGTTGCTGCTGAGCACGATGTGCACGCTCTCCGGATCCACATAGAAATTAAATTCCGCCTGCGCAGTTATGTTTCCTTGTCCTTTGAATACATTTTAAAGAATTCAAACAATCGAAACATTTATTCTATACAGCATACACTCTTTTGTTTACACAATGGAATGCATTTGTGATTTATCACATAGATAATGTTTTCTGTTTTTCTCTGTTATCGATTGCAGATGCTCTTTTCAAGTTTATCTGTTATCTGTTATTTTAAATCTTTTAATAATACACAAACCTCGGTCTAACTTTCTCAAGATACGAGCGCTCTTTTACATTTTAAATAATGCTTTTATAATACGAAAATTTACAAATTGATTGCTAGAATATAAAAAAAAATTGTTATAATATAATCATCACACTATACTCTAATTATTTTGAAGACTCAATAAAATTATTTTCTGATCTGACTAAGTTTTTAAATATTTCAGCAAAATCGATTTTTTGTAAACGTGATTTTCATCCCATTCCATTGTGACATAAATATTTGATTAGACACAATCAAGTAGTATCATTTATCTCACTATGTTATCATAATCAACTAACAATCAAATATATAT